ACAGCCTCATCGCGCAGGTCCTCGTCCGCCGCGGGAGGCGAGGGCGGCGCCCACGGGTTCAGGTGGGCGGGCGCCGAGCCGAGCCGAAAGCCGCGGCTCAGCGCATCGGCAACCCGACGTGCCACAATGTCAGGGTCCTCCCCGTACGACAGCAGGTTGTGCAGCTCCAGCAGCGTCTGGCAGTCAAGACAAGTCTCGGCTGCGGCCAACAAGCTCTGTAGCTGCCTCTTTCTCGGAAATTTGCGCGTGCCCGTCAGGCGGAAGGTGTCGGCGTCCTGGAAGAGAACGCGCTCTCCTTCGGAATCCCAGGCCAAGTTATCCAGCTTCGGGTCGGAAATGTAGACACCACGCCTGGCAGCCTGGGCGAAGCTCCGCACCGCCAGGAGGAAGACGCGCCGCTTGCCCTGGCTGTCGTCGCGCAGCAACCGCACGCGCCGATCCAACGGCATGGCGCTGTTGACCATGAGGAAGTGCAGGGCCCTGGCGCCGCCGCTGGGCCCGTGGAGCGCAGCGGCGCCGCAGTGGAGGACGGCCGGCGCCAGCTCCCGCAGGGCCCCCGACATCTCGGCCTCGCGTTCACTCGACTGCGCCTGCTCTGCGCGCTCGGCTAGCTTGACGACGCGCTGCTGGTCCGTTGTGTTGTCTACAATGCGCGACATGCCGTGCGCGGCGTAGGTGAGGCTGAAACGCACGGTCGGCATCACGTCGTCGGCGTCAGAGGCAGCGGACGCGCCAGAGGCAGCGGACGCGCCAGAGGCAGCGGACGCGCCAGAGGCAGCGGACGCGCCAGAGAGAGCGGTGCCGCGGCGGAGCCACGCATCCATGGCGAAGGGCAAGTCAATGCGCCTGGAACACGTGCTGCGCGCTCGCGCCCACTCTCGCGAAGGCTGCAGCTGTTTTGCGCGGAGGTGGAGCACCAGCGCTATGGCGACAGTACTCAAACAGTTGCGCGGCAGGATTCCGAGGGGAGCCACGCCTTCTTGGAGCCAGAATGGGCGGCGGACAGACGGGCCTCCCCGAGTGGAAATGTAATATTTGCGCACGCTCTGTCCCAATCGAACCCCCCAAAACTCGACCGGCTCCCCTCCAGCGTTTACACCTGGTCGGGTCTAGCTTTTCCTTTGGTCCGGTCTAGTTTTTCTCTGGTCGGGTCTAGTTTTCCTCTGATCGGATCTAGTTTTCCCCTGGTCGGGTCTAGTTTTTCTTTTGGTCGGGTCTAGTGTATCTCTGGTCGGATCTAGTTTTTCCCTGGTCGGGTCTAGTTTTCCCTTGGTCGGATCTAATTTTCCCTGTGGTCGGGTCTAGTTATTCCCTGGTCTGGTCTAGTTTTTTCCTGGTCGGGTCTAGTTTTCCCCTGGTCGGGTCTAGTGTTCCCTTGGTCGGGTCTAGTTTTTCCCTGGTCGGGCCTAGTTTCCCTCTGGTCGGGTTTAGTTTTCCCCTCGTCGGGTCTAGTTTTTCCTTTGGTCCGGTCTAGTTTTTCTCTGGTCGGGTCTAGTTTTTCCCTGGTCGGGTCTAGTTTCCCCCTGGTCGGGTCTAGCTTTTCCCTTGGTCGGGTCTAGTTTTTCTCTGGTCTGGTCTAGTTTTTCCCTGGTCGGGTCTAGTTTTCCCCTGGTCGGGTTTAGTTTTTCCTGTGGTCGGGTCTAGTTTTTCCCTGGTCGGGCCTAGTTCTTCCCTGGTCGGGTCTAGTTTTCCCCTGGTCGGGTCTAGTTTTTCCTGTGTTCGGGTCTAGTTCTTCCCTGGTCGGGCCTAGTTTTCCTCTGGTCGGGTCTAGTTTTCCCCTGGTCGGCTCTAGTTTTTCCCTTGGTCGGGTCTAGTTTTTCTCTGGTCTGGTCTAGTTTTTCCTTGGTCGAGTCTAGTTTTCCCCTGGTCGGGTCTAAGTTTTTCCCCTGGTCGGGTCTAGTTTTTCCCTGGTCGGGTCTGGTTTTCCCCTGGTCGGGTCTGTTGATCCCTGTGGTCGAGTCTACTTTTTCCCTGGTCGGGTCTACTTTTCCTTGGTCGGGTCTAGTCTTCCCCTGGTCGGGTCTAGTTTTTCCTTTGGTCGGGTCTAGTTTTTCCCTGGTCGGGTCTAGTTGTCCTCTGATCGGGTCTAGTTTTCCCCTTCCTGGGGGCCTCTTGGGGGCCTCTTGGGCCGAATGGATCGCAAGTTCGGTCCCTCGTCCCTGTCTTGGGCGCCGCCTTGGGGCGTTCTTGGGCGGTTTAGGCGTCTTGTGGGCCGTCTTGGCCCCCTCGTGGGCCGTCTTGGGGCCCTCTTGGGGGTATCCTCGACCGGCTTGGGTGCCTCTTGGGCCGTCTTGGACGCAGTGGAAGCCCAAAAAGCGAACACGCCAAAAACAGATTGCATGAAATCTACGACTTTTGCTTATCGGGGCTCTCTCGGGGTGCCTCTGGGGGCGTCTTCGGGGCCTTTTTTTGTGTGTTTGCGGGTCCCTTGGGGACCTCTTGGGGCTCCTTGGGCGCTTCTTGGAGCCTCTTGGGGTCTCCTGGGGGCCTCTTGGTCCAAGTGGCTCGCATTTTCGGTTCCTCGTCCCCGTCTTGGGCGCCGACTTGGGGCGTTCTTGGGCGGTTTAGGCGCCTCGTGGCGTCTTGGCCCCCTTGTGGGCCGTCTTGGGGCCCTCTTGGGGGCATCCTCGACCGGCTTGGGTGCCTCTTGGGCCGTCTTGGACGCAGTGGAAGCCCAAAAAGCGAACACGCCAAAAATATCTGTTTTCCTACCGGAAATATACGATTGTTGCTTCTGTGGGGCTCTATTGGGGTGCCTCTTGGGGCGTCTTCGGGGCCTCTTTTGGTGTTTTGTCGGGTCTCATGGGGGCTTCTTGGGGCTTCGATGGCGCTTCTTGGAGCCTCTTGGGGTCTCCTGGGGGTCTCCTGGGCCAAAAGGAGCGAATTTCCGTTTCCTCGTCCCCGTCTTGGGCGGCGCCTTGGGGCGTTCTTGGGCGGTTTAGACGCCTCGTGGGCCGTCTTGGCCCCCTCGTGGGCCGTCTTGGGGCCCTCTTGGGGGCATCCTCGACCGGCTTGGGTGCCTCTTGGGCCGTCTTGGACGCAGTGGGAGCCCCAAAGGGCGAACACACCAAAAATATCAGTTGTCCTAATTATAGGAAATCGACGATGTTTGCTTATTGAGGCTCTCTCGGGGTGCCTCTTGGGGCGTCTTCGGAGCCTTCGGGGGCCTTCTTGGCGTCATGGGAGTCGTCTTGAAAGGCATTTGGAGCCATCGGAGCGTGTTTTCGAGAGTTCCGAAGCCAATTCCGAGCGATCTTGGACGGCCCATGGCGCTCCAGCAGGGCTCCAGGCGCGCTGGGCCCCATATTTGCGGTCGGGCTCCCAGCCCCCGGCCCCCGGACCCAGTCCCCCGTTGTGTGTATATATGTATGTATATATATATATATATATATACACACACATATGTATATATATATATATATATATATATATACTAGTGTCGACCCGTGGATTAAATCCACGGAGTTGAGCGGATCGAAGATTTGTGGCGCGGGCTGGGTGGTACGACGCTTTCACCTACTGCAGCAGATCCTTTGAAGCTTGTTCTGGAGATGTTCTCCCACCGAAGGCGCCGAATCCAGCGAGGCGGGCCGTCGGGGAGCCGCTAGGGAGCTTTTTGGGACCCCTTTGGGAGCCTCTCGGGGCACTCTTGGTCCGTGTAGGGGCTCTCTTGGGCCCTCTCGGGGCCGCCTTGGGCGCCTCTTGGGCCATCTTGGGGTCTCTTGGGGCCATGGTGGGCTGTTTTGGCCCCTCTTGGGGTCCTCTTGGGCCGTCTTGGGCCCGTCTGGGGCCGTCCTGGGGAAGTCAGGAACCATCTTGGAGGCCTGTTGGGGACGTCTCGGGCCGTCTTGGGACGGTGTCGGAAGCCTCTGGTGCCGGCGTGGGCGCGTCGAAAATGGAAAGAGATAATGTGCAGAAAGTAACAATTTTACGATGGGAATGCTACGATTTTTGTGTGATGGGGCCCAATGTGGGAGGCATCTTGGGCCGTGTGAAGGCCGTCTTGGGCAGGCCTGGGACCTCGGGTGGCCGCGGGCAGACTCGTCTGAAGTGTTCTGGGGCCGTTTGGAGGCTCTCTGGGGGCCCAGGGCCACTAAGAAGTGTTTTGGAGCCGTTTGGGGCCGTCTGGGGGCTCTCGGGGGGGCCGTGGGGGCTGGGGCCACTAAGGCTTCTTTCGAACTTATTTCAATGGATATATGTAGAGAGAGAAAGAGAGAGAGAGAGAGAGAGAGAGACAGAGAGGCAGCGAGAGAGAGAGAGAGAGAGAGAGAGAGAGAGAGCGAGAGACCACCGGCCCTTGATTCCATCCTATTCGTGTGCACGCGTGGCTTGAGAGCATGGCCAGCGAAGTCAAGTAGGGCCGGCAGGGCCACGCGAGGCCAAATCAGGGGCGAGGGCGGGCGCTGCGAGGGACATGGCGCCAGCCATGCTGCCCCACGTCAGCGTGGCGATTGCACGGGCAGCGAGGGGCAGATCATGCGAGGGGCGAGGAGGGGATTGGATGGGAGCAAGAGGAGAAGGGGGGGGGGAGGAGCAAGAGGAACCGCCACCACAGCGCAACCTTCGGCCTTTACGGGCCCCCCAACACCACTAAGCACGCCCGCAGAAAGAACAAGGGCCGCAGGAGGGGTGCGATTAGCCCCCGGTAGGCTCGGCCCCGATTGCCGATCCCGATCGATCGAGTCGCGGTAGCCGCTCAAAATAAACATGCTGTAGATGCTCATGTGCCCTCCTGTACAGGGGCGCCCCCCCTGTGCAGGAGGGCGCGCGCCGAGGCGGTGGCACGAGCTCAAGAATCGCGAGGAGCGGGAGATCGGCGAGCGTGGGCGCGCCCTCGCTCCCCCGCGGCCGCGGCCCACAGGCCCCAGGGCTTCAGTCATGAAACAGCTCCTCCTCCTCCTCCTCCTCCTCCTCCTCCTCCTCCTCCTCCTCCTCCTCGTCCTCCTCAGCTGATTGTGCGCGCCGACGCGGGCAAGCTCCCCACGCGCTTCCCAGGCGACTCAGCACTCCCGGGTCCTCCCAGCAGGCCCGAAGCGCTCCCCGATCGCGGAGCATGCGACGCCTCCCGCCAAGTTCCAGCCCGCGCCTCCAGCGCACCCTCCGCCGACAGTAGCCCTTCTCCAGCACGCGCTGGACAGGATAGAGTCGCGAGAAGATGTGCTGAACATACTAAGGAATGCAGCGAACATGCCCACGGCGCAGGAGGTGGCGCAGGAGGTGGTGCAACAGCTGCAGACCACAGGGGCGCTCCAGCAGCCAGCGCCGCCGCAGAACCAGCAGCCGTTACAGATTGTGATGCTCCGCGCCCCTTCGTGGCAGCCATTCCCGAATGCCGGGATGCCCGCGTCGAGTCTGCAGCCGACGCCCGGGCAAGTGGGCCCGCCTCCACCGCCGCTGCCAATGGAGCCGCTGCCGCCGCGGGGACGGCGCACCACAACCAAGACGACGCAAGGCTTCCCTCCGCCGCCACCCCTGCACCGGGCCGAGCCGCCAGGCGCGACAGCACCAGCCGCGGCAGACTCCGCAGCCCAAGCAGCCGCAGCAGTCGGTGCAGCAGACGCGCCAGCAGCCGCGGCGGCCGCAGCCGACGAGGAAGACGAGAGGAAGATGAGAAGGAGGAGGAGGAGAAATAATAACAATAATAGTAATAATCATAATAAGAAGAGGTTAATAATAACATCAATACGAAGAGGAATAAACATAACAGTAAGTAGAAGACACAGAAGAAGAAAAAGAAGAAGAGGAAGCGGGAAGGCACTCGCTTCGCCCTCTTCCTTCTCCTCCTCCTCCTCCTCCTCTTTCTCCTCATCCTCCTTACCCCCCTCCTCCCACCCCTCCAACTCCCTCCTCCCTCCTCCCCCTCCTCCCACTCCTCCTCCTCCTCCTCCAACTTCTCCTCCTCCTCCTCCTCTTCCTCCTCCTCCTCCTTAACCTCCTCCTCCTCCTCCTCCTCCTCCTCCTCCTCACCATCATCATCACCACCAACAACAACACCACCACGATCATCATCATGATCACCATCACCACCACCGTCATCACCACCAGGATCACCACTTTGATCACATCAAGACCGCCACCACCACGCTCATCATGGCCACCACCACCACCGCCACCACCATCACCACTGCCGTCGTCGCCCTCACCACCTTCAGCAGCAGCAGCCTCCTCCTCCTCCTCTCTTCCTCCTCCTCCTCCTCCTCCTCCTCCTCCTCCTCTCCTCCTCCTCCTCCTCCTCCTCCTCCTCCTCCTCCTCCTCCTCCTCCTCCTCGTCCGCCGCTTCGGCGGCAGCGGCGGCGAGCGCGGCGGTCCGGCCGCCGCTGCGCGGGCGCCCCGTCGTGCGCCGCGCACGGCGCGGGGCACAACCGGTAGAACGTGTCGACGTCGTGCACGAACGCCTGGGCCAGGCTCGGACAAGACGAGACAAGACCATCCCGCATGGGCCGCCTATCGGTGGCGCATGAACCTGGGTCAGCACAACCCCGGGTCGGCGAGGGCCCCGTCGCGAAGCCCAGCCAGCCGCTCAGTAGCTCGCAAACCTGGGTCAGCGGAAGGCGGAAAGGGAGGATCGGCCCCCAGGTAGCTCCCAAGCCAGGGTCAGACAGAGGGGGCGGGCTGATCCCTTCTAGCGCTGACCTCCCGTATGTGAGCCCCGAACCTACGCGGGTGCAGCGAGTGGGCGACAGGTGTGTCGGAAGCCGGGCAAGGGCTGCTAAATCCGTGCCTAGCTAAAATCGACCTCCGGGAAGTTGTCTTCGTCCTTCCAGGAAGAAGCCCGTTGACTGTTTCGCGTGCCGCGCCTCATTCCGGGAAGTTGTTTTTTTCCTTCCGCGAGGGCCGTTTTGGCAGCCACGGTTTTAGTAACCATCGCCCAGCTTTCGAGCGTGGTCGCGCGAAGGAGCAGGCAAAAGTCGGAGTCAGTGGCAAGAGAGCTGGAGTAGAAAGGATGACCGGAAGCTGCAGTCGAAGAGGGGAGAGCCGGAGTCGGAGACGAGAACCTCGGGGACGTCCAACGGGGCAGGATCGGTCAGCATCGAACTGGGAAGTCGGGTCGCATCGACGTGTGCGTCGGATCGAGCTGCATCGGCACGGAGTATAAATCGGATCGGATCGGATCGGCTGCACCAAGATGCACAACAACGCCATGCAAGCGTCGGGCCGCATCGGATCGTAGATCGGAATCGAATCGGATCGGGCCAGCGGGAATCGATGCCGAATCAGATCGATCGGATCGAGATGTACCCGAGGCACGTGCGCAGCCGAGGTGGGGGGCCGTGTTCGCTCCGTCTTGGAGCTCCTGGGCCCCAATGGGCCACGTGAGGGATTCGCTGGAGGCCGTGGGGTCCTCCTCGGGAATCGTGGGGACACCGTGCACCAAGGACACTCCTGGCAACACCCGACTCTCGTCCTAAACCCCCCCTCTCGACCGCTCCCCGAAGAAGCAGCAGCACGGTCCAGCCAGATCACGAGGAGGCGCGGTGAGGGTGCGAGGCTCCTTGGCGCCCAAGCTGAAGCCAGACGTGGGAGGCCCTGGCCCATGGCTGAGGGATGGGCCAGGCCGAGAGGCAAAGATGCAGGGGGGCCACTGGGAAGCTACTCCGAGCTTCTTAATGAGCGTCGGGGGGGGGCGTCACCCCAGCCGACAGCCCCACGTCGACCCCCGCCGCGGGCAGCCACCGCGCGCCGAAAGCGCTCCGACCCCCGTCGCGGCGCGACGACGAGGCGAGGTTGACCCCCGTCGGGGGGTCCCCCCGACGTTTATTAAGAAACCCAGAGCACTCATCCTTCTGATCATGTTTGACTGTGCGGCAGGTCCGTGCTGTTAAGACCTCGGCGTTGGCTTCTGACACCGCGCGGGTCGAGAAGTCTGGACAATCGCGGACCTCCGATGAGCGCCGACCGTTCGAAGTCGACCGATTTCTGGATCGCCGTCGGCGTTCAAGCTTGAACGCCCGCGCCAGGATCGCCGCCTCGTCGAAACGACACGGACCCGCCGAAAGCATAAACTGTCGGATGTCCGCGCGAATTTCTTGGGTCGACGCTGAACCCCCGGAACGCGCCCCCCAAAAGATCCATGAGGACCTCCGAACATGCATGCTTCTTGTATGCGTAAGTCGTTTCTCATTCTTCTTCACGGGGCCGTGCTGCCAGGCAGCCGAGGGTATGATCTCTTCGATCCCTGGACTCTCCCTCTCGCATCGGCCTCTTGTGGGGGGGGGGCTGCTCCTCGTGCCCCGGAGGGGCAGCAGGAGCAGATCCGGGGCGGAAAGCTGCCCCCCGAGGAAGGGTCGGGAGCCTTCTGGGCTTCTTGGGGGGCATGCAGGAGGCATCCTGGAGGCCTCCTGGGGGTGTGTAGGAGGTAATGTTTTAGCCTTCGGGAGCGCTTTGTGGCGCATTTGGGGGGCCTCTTGAGGGCCACTTGGAGCCTCTCGGGGTTTCTTGGGGACTCCTAGGGCCATTTTGGTACCTCCTGGGCGCCTCTTGGGCCGTCTTGGGCGCTCTGGGGCCCGCGGATCGAGAAGTCGGAGAGTCGGATGTCTGAGTGCCGCACGGCGGGCTCCCAGTGTGCTGGCGTGCGCGCTGGCCTCGGGCGCCGCGTGGGTCGGTCAACCTGGGACGACCGCAACCTTCAGATGACACAGATTGCCAGATGTCGGCGGGCTCCGGGCCACCAGCAGCGTTCCACTTCGACCGACCCCGCCGGGGTCGCCGATGCGTCGATGCGGCGCGAACCTGCCAGACCCCGAGGGAGGACCCGTCGTGTCGACGAGTCGTCGACCTCTCGAGAGGGGTGCCGAAGCCGCTGGGCGCCCCCCCCCCCGGGGGCCAAGGGCCATCCCCCAGTTGTGGCTGGTCCGGCCTGGAACTCCTCGAAGCTGGAGTTGCTGCTCAGCCTGGGGCGGATCGAGGCTCGAGGACTCCTGGAGGCTTGCCGGCGATCTCAGCGCGTCGAGGACTGAAGACGTGGGGCGTGCTTTATGACTTTAGCCTCCAGGGGCCTCTATGAGGAGGAGGAGGAGGAGGAGGAGGAGGAGGAGGCGGGAGGCGGAGGAGGGAGGCGGAGGAGGCGGAGGAGGCGGAGGAGGAGGGAGGAGGAGAGGAGGAGGAGGAGGAGGCGGAGGAGGGAGGCGGAGGCGGCGGAGGAGGAGGAGGAGGAGAGGAGGAGGGGGGAGGGGGGGGGGAGGGGGCAGGGGGGAGGGGGAGGGGGAGAGGAGGGGGAGGGAGAGCCTTCGCGGAGCCTCCGGGACCCTCTGAAGCGGAGCGCCTGAGCTCCTCGAGACCGAAGTTCCTGCCCAGCCGCCAGGGGTAGGAGCGCGTGGCAGGCACGCTGCTCTGCCCTCCTCTCTGGCTTGCTGTATGATCCGATCCTTCATTCGATCAAGTCTGAGGAATCGGTGTTTCTCCTCCTCCTCCTCCTCCACCTCCTCCTCCTCCTCCTCCACCTCCTCCTCCTCCTCCTCCTCCTCCGCCTCCTCCGCCTCTTTCCTCCACTTTCCTCCTCTTTTTTCCTCCTCTCCTCCTCCTCCTCCTCCTCCTCCTCTTTCCTCCTCCTCC